CTCTAAAATCTGTCAAAAAATTTGCTAATGACTTTTTAAAAACCGAAACACGTCTCGACATACTTATCAACAATGCTGGAGTATTTGCATCGGACAATGTGAAAACTGAAGACGGATTGTTATTAGGAACGCAAGTGAATCATTTCGGGCCGTTTCTTTTGACAAGTTTGCTATTGCCATTACTTAAATCGTCGGCGCCAAGTCGTATTATAAATGTCTCTTCGATAGCATACAGAAAATGTGAATTAGATCTACAAAATTTAAATGCTGAGAAAGAAAACGAAAAGACATATCAAAAGATAAACTTGTATGGGATGTCAAAGCTTTGCAACATTCTTATTGCAGTTGAATTAAGTCGTCAACTTAAAGGAACAGGAGTGACTGCAAACAGTTTACACCCAGGCTTAGTAATAACAGATATACTTTACGATATTAATGTTTTCGGTTTTCAATTGATATTACCACTGGTCAAGTATTTTGCTAAGACCGCTTGGGAAGGCGCACAAACGTCCATATACCTGGCAGTTTCACCGGAAGTCAATGATATATCGGGAAAATATTTTGAGGATTGTCGTGTTAAAAAAACTGTTAAGAGAAACGGATATGATCCCGAGTTAGCACGTAAACTTTGGGAATTGTCAGAGAAGTGCGTAGGTCTTAAAACAGATTAATATTGTATATTGCATTATTCATGTTATTCTTCAAAATAATAAATGTTTATTGAACGATGAATGCTGTTTATAATATAAGGTTTATAAAACTTAAAGTAAATAACATATAATTACCTTAATTAATTACCAATGAAATTGTTAATTTTTTTATATTAAATGGTGAATGTATCAAAAATTCCAACGCCTTGGGATGTCATTTATTTGATTTTTTATACAAAAAATAAATAAAACCGATTTTAAAAACAGGAATTTTTAAATGTCGATAAGTTTTAATAAGGAAAATTAAGTTAATGTTATTTTTTGTAAGAATTTATGGTAATTAACTTAAATTTTTAGAAAATAATACATAATTTTTTTACTTTTAATTTTTTGTTTCTTTGATATAAAATCGCGTTTGATAATAAATTGAAATCATCAACGATTTTGACTTTAAGTTGGCCTCGGGATGGTTTAAATATTATTGAAATTTCTATGACTATGTATTTCTGTGAATTCTACGTACCTAGAATTTCCACAGCCGAAAAACATGTACAAAACATGTTGTTATATGTGAATTTCTAATCAATAAAACTGATATAGCATATATATTTGTAGGTATTTGTATACTCTAGGTTAGTATTGCAATTCATGCATCAGAGTTATCCCTTGTTTATTCTTTGGTCTATTATTTTTTTACAGTTAAATTTAAATATGTCCTAGTGTTCTTCTTCTTCTTCTATAGCTCTACAGCTCTTTGTGGGCCTTGGCTTGGTCCAGCAATGTCTTCCATTTCGGCCTATCTCTGGCCACGGTCCTCCAGTTTGCTATGACAACGGTTTTCGCATCTCGACTTATGCCGTCTATCCACTGGAGCTTTGGCCTCCCTCGACTTCGACTGCCCTCGGGATTACTTGTCATAACGCGTTTAGGAACTCTAGTGTCATCCTAGAGTTCTAGTTCAGTTTTATTGAGCAAAATTATTGTAACTGCGTGACAAAATTATAATTATTTAGTACAATCATGTACTATTTTCCCTGTCAGTTTGTTTAAATAACATTGTTATAATAAACAATTTGGTGTTCAACTTTAATTTGTTGTACATACGATACAATATTAATAATTGTTGTTATTTTTTTATAACCCATGTGCGTCTTTTTCCTTATATACTTAGTACATTGATGTCATTAATTACGTAAATACACTATTATTGACGTAATTACATATTACCGCCAGAAGTATATTTATTTGTTCATTATGAGTATTCGCTAAAATAGTTATGTTTTTGATCAAAAGTTTATATCACGTATCATGAAATATATTCTACGTTCGATTATAATAATCTTACTAATATAAACGCAAAAGTTTAAAGGCCTGTCCCACCATTGGCTGATAGAGGCTCAGATAGCTTAAAAATGACGTCACTGTCAGATAAGGGAACAAAATATAATATTTCCATGACATAATTGTAAAATGAGTTTAACGATACAAATTATTATTATTAAAAAACTTTTATTTTTTTGAAAATCATTATGATCGTATTTTTATGCTTTGTTTGTCATATTACTTTATAGTTTGCGAGTTGTAATAAATGTTTTTTACCTGTTTAAGTAAACAAAAGAACTTAAAATGTAGGCTCGTATTAAATGTAACTTACATGCTGATTTGTACGTGCTGTTTGTTATTCAAGTCTTACTAAACCTGATTGATGGGAATAAATTTAAATGTTAAAACCAAAAGACGCATCTAAATGTCTATTATCATACAAATATAAATCCACAAACAACAATGATTGTCTACTAACTACAACAATAGTTTTTGCCAGCGACTTCGTTCCCACGGAAATAATTAACAAAAAACAAAATCAAATATGTATTCTTAAGGAGTTTGTTCTGCATGTTCGCTACATTTCACCGAGATTCGTTGAGAGATTGTGGTGATATTATTTTCTACAAACATCTACCCATCCAAACTTTAATATTTATATTACTCGTAAGAAAGAAGTATTCTTACAATTGTAGTGTTGAATAGTCAAAATATACGTACATTATTTTTATATAACAACATTTCATAAACGTTAACAAAAATCCATAAAGTTAATATAATTTCTGTGTCACATATTAATCATAAAGGAATTTTTACAGCACAAAAACAATAGTACAAATTAGGAGTTTGCAGGATTTTTATTTACAACATTAATTACTTTGTGACAAACTTATGTTTCTAAAGATAGTTAAAGAAATGTTGGTTTTATAAGAATAATCAAATACATCTCAAAGTTAAAGCCAACTATTTGTATTAAAAAGTAAAGAAAACAGAAAATAACTATTTGCCTTTTTAACGAATTTATTCCGTTGAGACAGGAGTGGGATCCAAATTGTGCAGCTTCGGGAGCTGTGCTTAGAAATCTTTTAGAGATTCAATTACTCGTTTGAAAGAAACCTTTTCCTTTTAAAGAAACCTGTTAGTTGTAAAATATTCTTTTCAATTTCTGTAATTGAATTTCTTTGATAGATCAACTTTGACTACGATTGAAGTTAGATTTTCAATACATTCGTTTTTAGAATAAATAGAAGAACACATGAAAACCAGTGTGTTTTCAATTCAAACTTTGATACTCTAGTTCTCTTTTTCCTGCGTACTTTGTGTACACACAACGTACAAAATGGAAATTTCGGTTTACATTTTGCAGGGGACGAGAGAACATACTATCTAAAAGTATTTACCTTATCTTGCATTAATAGATGAATATTTGATTAAAATTATCCAGTTGTTTTAAAATAAAATTAAATATAACATCACATGGTAATTTCGTTTAAAAAGATCTTATTAAACGATTACTTACGATGCATAAATATAAAATTACTAAAAAAATAACAGCTTGACCTTGCACTCAATGATTCATACTTAAAACTGCATATTAATAACCTTGAAACGAGCAAAATATGTTTCATCCATACTAATAGTATAAAGAGGAAAGTTTTGTATTTTTATACGTTTTGATATAACCCAAAGACTACTGGGCCAATTTCAAATTCTTTCACCATTAAAGCGCTACGTTATCGGCGAGTGTCATAGGCTATATATTTTAATTCGTAGACGAAGTCGTGAGCAACAACTAGTAAAAAATACAACAAAACTGTATCATATGAAATGGTAAAAGCTTAACTTGTGAGCTTAAGATAAGATATCATAAATCACTTTGATGTTGGCTTAGAATCTTGTCTTTTGTGTTCCAAACTTTGGACGCTATGAAATATTGCCAAAAGTTACACAAACATCTCTTAAAGTGTTCTGTTGAAAATATATAACGCAATAGACTTGGACAGGATACTAGACGACGATGCAACTTCAGGGCTTAGCGACCAATTTATAAAAACACAATACAATCACATGAATTTTTCACAAAAATATTTTGGTTATGAGATTCAATGTATATTAGAAACTGTTAACGCCGTTATCAATGTGAGTAAAATCATATGTTGAAACAAGCAGACTTTCAATAAGTTATTATGAAACAAGTAATATTTAGATTTTAAGTCCATTCCTACTTAACATAAGCATCAATTGTAAAGGCTTGAAAAGCAAAGTACGAAAAATACGAAACGACCGCCGTCTCAAAATGGTGAACAAATTTTTGAGGAACCATTCCAACATAAACATTAAATTAAATGGCTTGACAAGTTTAATATAATACGTCTAAATAAATATTTAAAAAATACAATAAAACGAACTGTTAAATGGCCAATACAAAATATCAGATAGGATCAGATATGCTCGAAACGAAATTTCTGGCGCAATAAATGATTTAAGAGGTAGGTGTTGACTGAAGGCTGTTAACAGCGGCGACATTTAAAAGCCCAGAAATGTTGAAAGGGTAATAAATGGATGAATAAACTGATAAATGTCTTCCTATAAGATAGTTCCTTGTAAGAATTGTAAAATCTTTTTAACGATAAAAAATATTTTATGAAATTAAAAAGACATTCTGTATCGTGCAGTTACGGTTATTGTTGTTAAGAATCCGACACAAAATACATACATACATACAGGAAAATAAAAGCGCTCAGTTTGACAATGGCGGGTGTAAGTGCACGAAGATATAACAAGGAAGGCGCTTCCATTGAGACAATATCCTATTTCAATGAAACTATCAAACTTAAATTGAACTGTTATATCATATATTTTATCGGAATATTTTACTTTTACTTATTCTTTTCAATTAAATTTTTTTTCTCAAGTAATATTTTTATTGGTATTTTTCCTACGAAAACAGAATTCAAAATTAATTAAACATTTCCCTCTTTGACATAACACAACACATACTCTTTGTTTTGAAAAATACTAATCATGTCAATTTGACGATTAGTAGTCTCGTCAAGATGTGAAAATTTATCGTTTGTTCGCTCAATATGAATGAATCTTATCTACATTCGTGCTTCTGGAATTCATTACATTTCGCTGAAGATTTTTCGTTGTTCACCTCTTATCAAAATTCTCATAAATTCTTCGTATTGCTGATTGCCTTGCATATCAGTGCATTGGTTATGTTCTACGCGAACGTATTATTCTGCAGAGACGTGGATATACTGCTCAATCAAACAGATGAATGCATAAAAGTTATTAAAATCAAACTAAAATCCATCCAATCGGATCATAAGAAGTTGACCAATATTAAAAAACGAACGGAAGAGCAAACGGAGACTTGTCGCAAATGTGAACATATGATTTCAATGCTGCGTACTGCTTGTGTAAATAACTTTAGAAACATATCAGAAATTAACAGCGAAAACTGACGTATAAAAATTAAGACAACTTTATCTTGTTGGATATATGGAAGTGAACAATATTAAAAACTAATGGTGATTTTCTACAACAAGCAATTATCACAATTTTCATCTGAGTTATTTCACAAGTGAGTTTCTAATAGTTAATTATTTTTTCGCTTGGTTGAGTGGAAATAAGTTAAAGAAATATTTATAAGGTTGTCAGCTCAAAGCTTTGCTTATTCTTATGGATAAAACTCAGGGAATGATCCCATCCTTGATTTACCATTTATCACAAAACCTTTTTCGTATTCTTTGACTAAGGGCCTAAAGAAAGTTATTATTTATTACAATTGAGAAGAAAAAAAATCATCGGGATAGTATTGAAAGGTTCAGTGAAACCGGTTCCTTTTGCTATTTAGTTTACCACGCCCAGAAACTATGGTGACAAAGATGAATTATATTTTTATGTTATTGTCAATTTGGACGTTGATGATTTTATTTTTAAGGCACACAAAATTTAAATTACATTGATAGTAATTATGATCTTTTTTCAGGTAATCGTGCTACGACTTCAATTTGTATTTCTACACCAATTGGGCTACATATATTAATTCATTTTATTTTTCTTAGTATTTTTTATCGTATACTACCTAATAAAATAAATACTTTATAAACAAACAATCTGTTGCCCGCGACTTCGTCCGCGTGGTATTAGAAAACATACGAACTAAATTACAAAAAGCTACGTATCCCTCGGGAACCAGACATTTCTCTGCGATGAAGCTTATCTCATATGTACTCCAGACTTTGTTTTATATCTGTGCCAAATTTCAATAAGATATGTTGAACCGTTGCAGAATGATCGAGTGAACATTAAAAAACTAAATTAATGTATCCCACGGGAACCGTAACTATTCCCGGGATAAAAAATAGCCTATGTGTTCTTCCAGACTATGCTCTAAACCTGTGCCAAATTTAATGGAGATCCGTTCAGCCGTTTAGGCTACAAACGCTAACAAACATCCATCCATCCATCCCAACTTTCGCATTTATAATATTAGTAAGATTAGTAGAATTAGTAAGATATAAATCAGTTGAATTTAAAAAATGAAGGACATACTAAAAATTACTTTAAGCGCCATCTATCGTATCCAACAATATTAAAAGCGAGTGAGCTCAATCATATTGGAAAAAGTCATTTCTTTTTTAATTTTTGTATCTTAAAAAAATATTCATCTGTCATTGATTGCTTACGTAGTACTATTATTGGCAATTAATTTTAGTCTGTCGTAGATTAAGATGTTTATCGACAGATAGTAGAAATAATTAACGTTACGATATAAATTTCAAAAGGAAATTCAACGCTTACTTTGCTTCGAATGAAGTATGCGTAAAGTTAAACGAATTCCGCGACATGGGAGGAGGCATTAGTTAAAGTTAAGCAATTAAGAAGAGCGTAAGCGGAGAGATTGGATGCAGGGAAGTTCTTGTTTTCCGTTCCTAAAACTATCTTCATTACAGTATCTCCGCATCCGAGCAGGCCGGGACGCCGGGCGATGCGCCGGGACTGAGCTGCTATGTTTCGTAACCGCGCATATGAACACACACGAGCAGTATTTCGCCGGCGGATAACAGCGCGGTTGGACAGCCTCCAACCGTTTCCGGCCAGATTAACTTTTTATTCAATCCAAACCGCATTAAAGCTCTCGCGACCGACAAAATGTTGATTAAATTCAAACAGCGAAATGAGGTTTATTTTACACACGTGCCTCGCTTACGTCCAAGTTATTGTTTATGTTACTTATGTAATTTAAATGTAAAGTATGAAATTGTGTACACTCACCAGCATATAGATACCTAAACTAAATATGTAAGAAAATGTAAATGTTTAAAACTATATAAATACGTTCACAGAACTAAAAGTATTCTCGTTTCGATTGGAAAATGCTAAACTAGAATGCAAATAAGTTGTATCAAATACTTATATTATTCTTACTAAAATTAATTCGAAAGTCGTTCCAATTCAATAAAATGCGAAAATCATTTTGTCGTGTATCGATCGATGTCACGTGGCCATTCGTCTAATAGAAACGTCAAAATTAAAAAAAAACAGAATATGTTTTTATCGGCTTTATTTCACACAATCATCACACATATTATTCTCACTTACATACCTATCGTATACCTATTTGTTAATTTTATACAAAGCTTTTGTTTTAACTTAATGTAAACCCTTAACTATGTTTTATAACTACACAATTTTACGGTGACATCAATGAACTTTACGGTGTGGCCTTAATGTCGGCAGAACAATCAACAAATCAAAGTTAAAACTAAAACTCAACATAAAACTAACAAACGAAGCCAAATTTAAATTCAACAATAACGTAACAGGAAAACTTAACAACAAATCAATGCTTAAAATTATTTAACATTAACAATTTAATAAATTAACAACACAACCATTAAGCTTTTAATACCTTAGATTTCCACTCCCGAAAGATCTGTACAAAAACATTGCTGTAACATTCACATTTAAAAACAGGGACAGCGATGTATTTCGACAGTAGAAACCCACGGTTAAACAATCATAAAAAACATACAGTTTGTAACTATTTTATCCCCTTGGCTAATTTTCTTAATCACTGTAAATAATTAATCAATTCTACAGATATATTAAGAATGCTGTTCAATCTTATAAAATAAGTATCAAATCATTTATTAAATATTAAGTTTAAATACCTAAAAATACTACATTGTACTTGAAGTATTAAAAAAATGGAGGAGAAAATAGTTACAATATTAAACTATAGCTCTTATGAAATATTGTATGCATAACTTTAGTTCACGAACGATTTAATTTCAACAACTATTAATGGAATTAACAAATAACGTTGTAACAATCAAATATTAACTCATTGTTCTCTAATTAGACAGGTTAATTTCAAACTGTTTAAAATTTTAATTGGTTATTTCGGACAAAATTTGACTCAATAATTGTTAATGTGAAAAGGTAATTAAATACAGTATTATAAAAGCTTTTTACTACCAAATCTATACAATTAAGATGAGAAGTAGTATGCACACGATATTCATATAACAAAAAGCATCCTATTAAGATTCTGAACAGAACCCTAACAGAAGGCGAAACAAACAAAAGCATAGAAGTAACAATTCAGGCACTTCGTGAGATTAAGGCACGATGTGATCGGTACGAAATGTTAGCAAATGTTTATGGAGTAACTTAGAACTTTCGTATTTGTATCGCGAAGAACGAGCCCCAACTAATTGTGCTGGAGTGCTTATTTAAGTTATCAGAAACAATCGGTGGATGAACAACAAAACAAAAACTTAACTTCGAGTCAATAAAGTTAACATTAACAATGGCCGGCTAACGAATTATTCGATTGCGTCCTGATTCGTTTAGTAACAAAACAAAAATTCAACTTTTAACAGCAACGATGTTACGGTCCATTTATTGTATAGACGCTAACTTTGAATGGGCTCAACAATCAAACTTAATTTAACAAGAAGCAAAAACATTAACTGATTGCTTTAACAGAATGAATAACCAAACAAAAATTCAACTATTTAAAAAAAATAACTTTAACTGTTTTGTTAACATTACATGGATAAAAACGATAATTGAATTACAAGAATGTTTAGAAAATAATCAAAACAAGAATATTTACAAGCAAACAAAAACTTTAACTGAAATGAATTAACTGTTAACAAAAACAAAGTAACATGTTAACTTAAGTAAATCAATACCAGACCAGCTGATTATGAGTTTGTGCATAAAACAAGATTAAACAAAAAAAACAATGTTAATCAATCATTAAAATCAAGTTATAAATTGAAAATAATTTTGAGTTAATATCCAATTAGAAAGAGTGGTTTCTTTAAACAATATTGTAAGCCAAATATTCTCCTAATTATTGAGAATTATTTTCCAATATACTTTGATATTATAATTGATTAAACTTTAAAACATCGTTAGTATACTGAGAGATCGAAACTGAAATTCAACAACTTCAAACAAAAACATTAACTGCCAAAACATAAACAACTAATAGTAAAGTTTAACAAACAGGGAAAGAGTACAAACATAACACAATCTTGTTGATTTGGAAAATCTAGAAACAACGTTAAAACTCTCGTTACACTCAACTCAGATTTCCAACAATAGGTTTAACGTGATTTAATTAAAAAAAAAACTAGAATAGGATGCAAGTAACTATAACAAAATTACATCCAACTCGGAACAAGCGTAACAAGATTAAACGAGAACGTGAAAGGTAACTTAAGAACTTTTAACAAACAACGCCGTACATTAAGCCACTCTTGATCGAAAAGAGAAGTATGTTTAAGTCGTGAAAGCATTGAACAAGTATTGTAAGTATTGACAACGTACTTTATAAGTAAACGTGTTTATTTTTCATTTAAAATACTTGTACTACTACTAAATACACTAAGCGATATTAAAACCATTGAACACATTTAGGTCACTAATTGACTCCCTATTCCTAAATTAGATGAACACAAACCCTAAACTAGCCTAGCCTATAGTATCTACACTATCTTTGGGGTTATCTAGAAGAATTGTTGTTCCAAATACCTCTTATTGGAGCTTCTTCGTAGATGAAATACTTAAAATGTATAGCACTCCACACATGTAGCTGAACCACTGATCTTTCTCTATTCAACATGGAATAGTCTTCGCAGTGTCATTCAAATTTCAATCTTGTTCAGTAACTAGAACAAGAAAAACCTTAATTAAACAAACATACAAATTAGAAGACAAGCTGAAGTGAAACAAAATTTGAAGTGTGCACAACACTAGTTAAATTTAACTTACCCATAAACATTAGCGAGGGATCTCGACGTTCGGGAAATAGTATCTTTTGAAAATGTTTTTCACAGTCCCGCTTTCTCTTTGCTTAAACATTAATTAACTTCACTCGAGACTCGAACTTTTTAATTGACAACTATTAACGAGTACAGTAAAGTTTGTACGTGAGTTGTAATTTAAGTTTCCCAAAGCTCAACGGGGGACCCGAGCCGGTCCCCCGTTGATGTTCACCGGAGCTGTGTTGTTTCGAAAGTGATGGTTTACGGGACTTTGCCCGCTTATATATGGGTCCCGAATTCCCTCCAGGGCTCACCGTGGGAGCGCGGGCGCACGTGTGGACTCCACATCGTTGCGTAAACCGAACACAATAGGTTCCTTTTCTTTGTCCTATCGACCCCTTGAACGTCTTGCCTTCTATCTGTATTTACCTATACTTGCGCTAGGGGAGAAATCTCGCCCGGTGGGAACATGCGCAATCCTAACTGAACTTTAATTGTAGTGTACGATAATCGCTTGATATTCTAAAGAGGGTCGATAAGTCGCAACGACTTTCACACGGTTAAAAAATTATTCATAAATATTACCGTTATTTTTATTATCTATGTTTTCTTGTCTGATGCAATATACTTCCAAATTTTACCTTATAAACCTATTTAGAAAAGAGGTAAATATGTACCAAATTCGTGTATTTATGAAAAATAAAACTTAACAGAAATTTAACGTTGAATGTAGTTTAGTTTTTTTTTTTAACGTTAAACATGTTTTAAT